CCCAACATGGGGACCCAAACCCCCTGAGGGCAGTAATTACATTAGAGTCCAACATGGGGACCCAAACCCCCTGAGGGCATTAATTACACTAGAGTCCAACATGGGGACCCAGACCCCCTGAGGACAGCCCAATATGGGGACCCAGACCCCCGAGGGCATTAATTAGAGTAACTGTGAGTCTGTGGGGTGACACTTTGACCAGTTGAAAGTATATATTCGGAGCATTTCTCCCCAACAACCCTTCTCCCACAACATTGTGTGTGCTTTACTGTCTCATATATAGCTCTCTTAAATATTAACTAACCGAATTGAGGCATTAAGGTATGTTTTGTCATTTAACGTTTCGGAGTATAACGAGTGCAGTGCAGTGCAGTGCAGTACAGTGCAGTGCAGTGCAGTGCAGTGCAGTGCAGTACAATAATGTACGGTATATAGTATAACTACACATATAGTGGAAAAGTTATGTTCATAGTCATTCTAGCAGTATAGCAATATCTTCAGAGTTCCAAAAACTACAGAATATTGTTGAAGTTTCTGTATCTATGCAGGAAATTGGAACAAAATTTACAATGGCCATGAACATACCATTTTCTCCAAGCATGACGATTATTTCTGAATCTGTGAATGAACCAGCTTCCACTTTTAACTCGAATGTTTCTATAACGAAATAAACAATATGAAATTGAATATTTTAAAGAGAAAGACAAGACGCAGCAAAATACGTACGAGGACTGGAATTTAAATGTCACCCTTGCTGTTTTATATTTCTAAAGAATACTATACACAGTGACAAGGTGCCTGTTTTTTATTCAACATAAAGCTCCAGCCATAGCAAAACCTTAATTCAAAGCTGAGTAAACCTACACATTTCCTGAGGGCTTGTCTGAAAATAACAAAACGAAATGTGATGCTGCAGTACTTCGATTTCGTGAAGGCGCTTCCAAAGCAACCTAAGTGCAACCCTTACTTCTTGTCGTATTTCTAAACAGTAGTAAAATACTTACTTAGAACCTTTCTCATATTTGGGTAACTGTATCGTCTTAACTTTTTAATTTCTTCCTCCTATCAAAATTGTCATATCGAAGTAAAACAGTAACTGGTAAGTAAATTCACAAACGAATAGTGCAAAAAACAATGCAAATGGGACAAGAACCTTATCAGCTGTTTCTGCCACTTTAAATGTCAAAGAAGTTTCCCGAAAACGTAGATTTTCTGTTGGAACAAAGCCATCCAAAAATATGTTGATCCCTAGAAAAAAGCATATAAGGTGTTACCATGTTACATAATTTCTATAGTTATTACAGAAGATAAGATCAAGTATTTGATTGTTGATGGCCTGAATTTCAACCAGTCACTCGAAATCGTTGAGATGCTATGCGAGTGACCAGCAGTGAAATTCCGGCTAAATTGTTGATTGTTTCACATTTAAGGTGGCTCGATATAGTTATCAAGATCGCGAACTCAAAACCGGGTGACCATTTTTACGCGCAAGTCTTGGAAACTGATTAACAAAATGAAAGAACTTCCAAAATTACCTGACGTGAGCAGTTGCTCGCGCCATATCACGCCATTGTGCGTGTTCTATAGCGTTTTATATCAATTGCTGACGTCATTAGAATTTTCCATTTTAGAAAAACAATGCGCTATATCTCTTTATTTTGTCTGGTGACCTATATATGTTCAAATTTTGCATGCTGTATTGCACCGCTAAAAACTTTCATTTTACAAAAAATAAAAAAATTCTGTAATGCCAAAAAAAATTTACCGAAGAATATGACATTTTCGCATTTTCCAAAAAAAATGTATGTATATATATATATATATATATATATATATATATATATGTATTTTGCTAATTGTTAGCTTTTCGTAAAATAATGCACGAAAATAATTGGGGGTCACGATGCTTCTTTTCCAACTATACGAGACGAAAAGTCATTTTGGAGTGAATTTCGTACACGTATGTCGTCATAGCAACGAACTATCTGTTACTAAAACTAATATAATTTGAAAGTAGAGTTATCAAAATATATAAAAAAGCCAATATCTGCTGCATAAATCCTAAAAATGCGTAGTTTGAACATGTCAAAGTGTTGAACACCTGAATTTTTGAAAACTGTATCGAGCCACCTAAAATATCTTGAAAACCAATCTCGAAAACAACTCTTGCATGCTCACCCCCTTCAGCAATAATCCAAGCAATGCATATATTTTCTCATGCATAATAAAACTATATAGTACCTTCTCTGACACTAAACGGCATAGTAACAACACCATAGGCACCAGGTACACCATATAGACAACATATGAAGTCAGATAAATAATCCAACACACTCAAATCATGTTCAACGACAATAATGTACCTTGAAATCAAGATATATTACAAAATTAACGACATGCATCACAAAAATACCGTAATAATTAACAATAATAATTCTCGTATATTATGACTCTCTTGCAGTATTTACACTGAATTAACAAGCCTTAATACTAAACTTAAAATTGTCAATTGATATACAAAAAAATAAGAATAAACAGAAGACTACTCTACTACATTATTTACAATAATTTAAAATATTAATCGGTTAAAACTTACTAATAATAATTCAAGTATTACTAGTAATACTTGAAGATAAAAATGTTCGGAAGCCTTCAACTACAGTGTAATAGTATTTTTAAAAATATATTGTCGGAGATTATACACATCGTCTTTGTTAAATTCAGGGGCTGATCAGCCATAGATAAATCAGTTGATGGAGAATATCCAGCCATGCACAAAAGTACCTAACTTAATTAAGATGAGATCATGCCATGCACAACCCCATATCAGTAATCTCTTATAACAGAAAAAAATTCACTAACTACCAAGAGGAAAATCAAAATACTTCGTGATCCGGATTTCAACAATCGGTGGACTAAGAGAATCCCGTCGCTATAACATACTCACCGATTACTTCTTGCGAGACTTCTTATAGCCAGGGCAGCTCTAAGACGCTGTTTGACATCTAGATAACTGGATGGTTCATCAAACATGAAACTGGAAAAAACAAGAAGTACACAACCCATTTGTTCGCATGAATATATAATTGATTCATGCGAACAAATGGGCAGTGGAAATCTGCAACGGTCTGTGCTAGCGTAGGTAGTGCCAAGTTAACTGTAAATATCAAGATTTTGTTGGCATCTCACTCGATTGAATAACAGTTGAAGGCTAATCGCAATAAAAAGAATTTAGTACAAGCGCTCGTTTTTAGATGCTTCGAAATATTAATCTTCGAAGTACTTTGGGGACTTAATTAAAGCTATACGTAGTTTGCTAAAATTTAGAACGTTGATGTTTAAAACTTTACAATCACCATTCATAATGTCAAAGCTAACAATTCCGGAAAGAACATTCATTGTTGAAAAGTATTTCGAAACAAAAAGCGTTGTTGCAGTTTTAAGACAATTTCAAATAGCTTTTCCAGGACGTAATCTTCATCGAGCGTTTGGCGTAATGTCAACAAATACCGGCTGCATATGCATTGAATGGACGAACCACCCCATAAAGTTTAAATCGAAATAAAGGAAACTCGGGAAGAAGAAGAGTTGTCGGGGATATGAGACAACGAACGAACTTGTGTGAACTTAGAAATGGAGGCCACGTTGAGTAAATGTGTACTTCCAACTTATTTTGTGGAACGTTTAAATAAATTGTGAATTCAACACATCTACGTTTTTTTAATTTTCCATTTGCACTTACTTAAATTGACACAGCTCGCCAGTAGTAACTCCAAATTTTATAAAATAAAGTATATAAAATAGCCGAAAGATCGCGATTTCGAAAGAATGCAAGTATAAACGTCTAACTTTCATATTCGCTTTGAAATTTACACTTCATGTGAGGACTCCGTTTTTTTATACACCTTGTAGTTGTATTTTTCGCAAATTCGCAGCTGTTCCTCGTTAGGTCTAATAGATGTATATAAAACTCGATAATTTCCATCTACAACACTCTTCAGTGCCAAGTTAACCAACTTCCCGACGAAGGGCTTTCGCTTGAAATGTCAAAGATGCTAAAAAATGGTGAATATGTTGTTTGCGATGTTACTCTGAGTGTATATCCATACCGGGTGAGCTTGAAAAATATGCCCGGCCACGGTGGGATTCGAACCTACGACCTTTGGAATACTAGCCCAATGCTCTTCCAACTGAGCTACGCGGTCAGGACGGTTCGAGTAAGTGATATTTCGGAACAGTATCTAATTCCTTCAATACCAATGTGTTCTATTAATATGAATTTTTTGTGCTGGTGTTGTGTACTCAGGTGAATAATATGTTTGCGATGTTACTCTGAGTGCATATCCACACCGGGCGAGCTTGAAAAATATGCCCGGCCACGGTGGGATTCGAACCTACGACCTTTGGAATACTAGCCCAATGCTCTTCCAACTGAGCTACGCGGTCAGGACGGTTCGAAAGTATTCCAAAGGTCGTAGGTTCGAATCCCACCGTGGCCGGGCATATTTTTCAAGCTCGCCCGGTGTGGATATGCACTCAGAGTAACATCGCAAACATATTATTCACCTGAGTACACAACACCAACACAGAAAAATTAATGTCAAAGATGCTAAAAAATGATGGGTTTTATATACACCATGAATTTTTTCTGTGTTGGTGTAATGTACTCAGGTGAATATGATGCTTGTGATGTTACTCTGAGTGTATATCCACACCAGGCAAGCTTGAAAAATATGCCTGTCCACGGTGGGAATCGAACCTACGACCTTCGGAATACTAGGCCAATGCTTTGCCAACTGAGCTACGCGGTCTGGTTGGTTCGAGTATGTGATATTTAAAATCTGAGTCTAGTTCCTTCGATACCGATGTAATCTAGTAATCATGAATTTTTTCTGTGTTGGTGTAATGTGATGACCGCGTAGCTCAGTTGGCAGAGTATTGGGCTAGTATTCCAAAGGTCGTAGGTTCGATTCCCACCGTGGCCAGGCATATTTTTCAAGCTTGCCCGGTGTGGATAAACACTCAGAGTAACATCACAAGCAACATATACACCAATCAGAATATGCATCAATATGCTTGGCTTTTTTTCAATATTTGTAAACTGGAGAGTCAGACCTACGCATGCATGCACAAATTTCAATTCTAATTGAAATACTGTTTGGTTTGAAAGGGTGCAGTAACAGTCCAGGTTTATGACATTGTTGTTCATTTCTTGTATAGGTGGAAAGCTGCAAAACTAAACGTTTTAACAATGAAACGAGAAAACGCATTTTCAGTAGATGTAAACTGCCATAAAACTTACATATCAGCTTGCTGAACGCATACAACAGCACAGGCAAATCTCTGTAATTCACCACCGGAAAGTTCATCTACATTTCGATCACGAACTGTCAGTAGATCTAAAAATACAATCATCTTGTACTGTAACGAATGTGTTACTTTCTACTGGCTGAGGTACGAAAGAAGCAGAAAATGTTCTCTCACACAAGGCTCAGCCGGGAGCCGGATTGTGAATCGGGTGCAAACGGGTGGTGCAGGTTAAGCCAGCACATTTTGTTGTTGCGGCAGAATGGCAGCAGCAGCTCCCAGCAGTGTGCGAGAAGTGATATTTCGTTTGTCGATTAGTGTTACTGGATGTCACCACGCTTATCCCCGAGCCGACGGCATGAAGCGCCGTGCGAGGGTACTAATCCCCCCCGGTTATTTACACCGGGGAAACGAAAGCATTAGCGAAGTCTAAAGTTCATCAATATCGCGGGCGTTGGTGACCAACGGTGTTGGGGTGTTGGGTGGGTGCCTCAAAAATATGGCGGACTGTCATGAATAGCGGACACTGATTGGTCCAATTTAAAGTTTGCATTATAACGACTGCATGACGACAGCGAAATAGCAAACATTTCTTGATTTGATGAATGATGATTGATAAATTTCTTGCAAATATTTTTGCTCGCATTTTTGCAAGATTTTGTAAATTTCAACTATAACATATATATGTTGGGAAATACAATAACATATATATGTTTGTAAATTTCAACCTAACATATATATGTTGGGAAATTCATAATTTTGTAATTTGTGATATTTTTAGGCGATTTTTCATTTGTAAGAATATTCTTAAAAAATTATCGTGTTACCATGGCTACCATGACAACTACTTTAGATACTTCATGTTCGGAAAATACAATGGTTTTGTCAGCAAGGCGAGGGTTTCTGCATGCATGTATTTTCTAGTTCTAGTTGAATAATCGTTCAGTAGGCCTATGACCAAGGATTTAGACCACAGAAGAAGCCCTTCACAAAACAATAAATCAAGGTAAACCATAAGGTGCTAAACTCATTAACCGAATTCACATCAGAGACGGGAAACTCGTCGCTGGTGAACATTTTTACTATTTAAACGGCCCACAAATAGTAAATAGAAAACACCCGTACCTGTTTGTCTTTTACGTGTAGACCGTGGTTTACCGAGGGGGAAACGGGTAGAAATTACGGGTAAAAATGCTGACTCAGCAAATATTGCTAAACAAAATGACAATACTCGTACCCGTAAAACGGAAGCGGGGTATCTTAACCTCTCTATTCCCGTCGGTGGGCGGAAAAGTTAAACGGAGAAGTTGAGACGGAAAACTCGTTACACCAAGCAATATGTCCCATGCAACTTGCAATGATCATTGTTAAAAATAGTATAAAAATCATATTGTCAGTCAAAAGCCAACAGGAAGCCATTCAGTGTATAAACATAGTGAGACTATAGTTGCAAGAGGGATGTTACAATGTGCAATGCTTTAGAAATGCGTTGCAGCGTTGCCGCAATCGTTACAAAAGGTTCAGAACCGGATTCTACTTCATGCAATCAGGGTTTTTTTCAGGATTTTCTCTTGGGTCCGTTTTTGCAGAGAATATTGAGTTTAGCGGAACAACTGGGGTGGCTTATTGAATACCGGGGACACCTGTACTCAATAAATGTAGTTGAGACGCAATGTGTTAAAGATGGCGAATGCGTAGTTTTTCTTGTGTTGTGAGATGAATTCCAGCCATTTTTTTTTCTTAATTGTCGGGTTTCCAAATGAAAACTAATTTCCACACGTCACAAATTTAACTCAAACAACTTCATTTTTACTGCACTGAAACGTGAGAAGACTGAGTTTCAAAACTCAATTCAAGATTGAGTTTTTGGGGCCGTTTTACGGCCCTAAAAAATCCCTGAAAAAAACCTGGTTCAGATTTGACTTCCACTATACCGCTACCACTACCTCTCACTGGCTTAGTACGTATCTGATTGGTTAATCGGATATATCAATGGAATCTGATTGGTCCCTTAATTCAAATCTGAATCTCTCTAATATGTCAGAACGGCATGAAATTATGATTTCTGTCGCTGGACAATTTTAATGTTAACCAGTCGACACTTTGATTTCTGTATCTTACCCAACTGTTCACAAAATTGCTCTTGTGAAGATGTCTCGTCTTTTCTGTCAAGTATAGACTGCACACTACCCTGCAATAACATCAAGTCATCAGACATATTATGAGATCTGAATGTTTCTTACGAGTCCATTCATCTTGTACAATATAAAGCATAGAACATTGGAACTCACCTTTACAGCTTTAGGAATCTGATCAACATATTGTGGTTTAATAATTGCCTAGTAAAATATATTATCCAACTATCAATACAGATTGACCAACTAATCGGTTCGGCCGATTTTTGCATGCCTTATCGGTAGACAGTTGGAATCGGTAGAATGATCTGTATTTCCGATTGTGTAAAACAGATTGTTGAGAAAATACACACTTTCAAAATTATATGCTCATTGCGTGTTGATACACGTTGCGTTTTAACGCAGTATATTGCCGCGACGAAATGAATGCACGAAATATGCTATTTATAAACGGCTTTAACGAACTTTTGGTGTAGTAACATGTTACGTTATCGTTAAAAAATCGAAATAAATGACAACACCGTTACTCGGCCGACTCACATTATGACGTCATTATAAAAAGGTAGCAAGAGTAATCGGTAATTTCGGATTATCTATTCACGTCTTCTAGACACACGAGAATATTGAGTCATGCTAAACAGTCCGCCATTTTAGGTGGTAACTGCTTTAACAGTAAATTGGCGCCATGTTACGTTTGAGATTTAATAACAAAGATGTAGTTTTAAATATTTGCCACCTAAAATGGCGACAGCCAGCAATCACGCAACGTTATATCACAGAATAAAGACATACAGAAGTGTAACTTCCATTACAAAACCGTAAGGCGCTTTTTTACCGAAATAGCTGGCGGCCATGTTCTTAGCAAGTGCCCTAAAGAGAGGCATTCACCCCCCTGGAATATTAAATTTTCAATATGTTTTCAGGGGGGTGACTGCCTCTCTTTAGGGCACTTGCTAAGAACATGGCGGACTGAAAAAATCCCTGACGCACTTTTAATAAGAAGATATACTTCTGTATGTCTTTATTCTGTGGTCATATGTCGTGACGTCACCTACAAGGACTGAATATATCACAGCTTGTATTTCAAAAGCATAAAGATTATGATATATTTGAATAATTTTATCCAGACTACAGTACAGTAACTAACAGTTTCTAAATTTGAAACCATGCAAGAATAAAAATATATAAATCAGGGTGGTAGCTACAGTCGAAAATTCGGCGTTAAGGTCCAGACACACCGGACGCGATTCGACAACGCGATTCGATTTTCACTGACCGATAATCGCGTCGAATCGCGTCCGGACCTTTATAGTTAGATCGGCCAAAATCGTAACTGTTATATTATAGCATACACAAGATTTTTTTCAATTTATTAAAAGATACCAATTTTGCAGTTAAAAACTGAATTACACTGGTTTACATGCATATGAGTAAAAATGTCTACAAGCACTCCTTATTTACAAGTTGTTAATTTTGATAGTTGTAGGTAAGAATGTAGCTAAACAATTATTATTTAAAACTAGAGTTGTAGGCCTTACTACCGGCCATAATAAAACTATTAGCAAACCTACTTGTCCTATGCTTTGGTAGTTGAAGGACAGTTATTATTACGTAGAGAATATCCTGTTTTATGTCTTGGGGGAACGAGAGAATGGAGTTTATGGGATGTTTCTTTCATCACAAATTTGATCGAAAAGTTTCTCGCAAATGGTCTTTCTCCGCAGGAACAGTGACACCACCCCCAGCACGTACCAACGCATCTTCATATTTGAGATCAGGAAAGATTATACGAAGGGCTCTGCTTTGAATACTCTCGATCTCGTCGCTCAAGTATTGCGCGAAGCTGTAGTGCCATGCCTCGCACGAAAATTCTAAATTGGTCGAACCGCAGGAAGATAAACCCGAACTAACTTGCCCGCTGGTATAGAGGATCACTTAAGTAATCGTAAGGCATACAACCGCTTCGAAGCTTTCTTGCGGATATAATCAACGTGCTCGATCCATTTAAGATCTTTAGACATGACACCAAGTAATTTAGCATGCGGACCACAACTATATCATGACCGTCAATGGTGATCGGCGGAAGAGCCCCGGGATCAAGAGGAGAAAACCCAACACGAACTTCTTTTGTTTTTGTAGGGTTCAGTTTCATGTTATTCTCAGAAGCCCATTTAGTAGATTCTGTAATTTGAGACGGTAGGACCGAGTTGGATTCTTGACCCTTCAAGACAATCTCCCAGATAGTGGTGTCGTCAACAAATTTCACCGTATCGTCAGAAACATTCAAGTCGTTCACCATGATGAGGAAGAGGAGGGGGCCCAGTTTGGTTGCTTGGGGGACTCCTCCGTTGGTAGTTCTCCAACTCGAAAAATTAGAGCCAATTCTTGTTTTCTCAGACTTCTGTCAGTAAGGAAGTTGGCAAACCAATTCATTAGAATAGGGTGTACGCGCATATTAATGAGTTTCTGCATCAGAATGTTGAAATCGATACGGTCAAAAGCTCTAGAAAAGTCTAGCATGCATATCCGTAGGCCGTTATCAATCAACCTCGTTCCCAGGGTCTCTTATCAATTTGGTCGCGGATTGACTGCAAGAGCTAGTTATATGGAAATGACTCCAGAATCTTACTCACTATGGGCGTGAGCGATATCGGTCGAAAATCAGAGTCAACATCCAGACATCCAGGGCTGGGGAAGACTTTGCTGCAGGGATGACATTTGCAGATTTCCACAGTGATGGAACACAACCATCATGAATAGAGGCATTAAATATGGATGCTAATGGGCGACATAATAACGAGGAATTTTCACGGAGAAACCAAGACGTGATTTCGTCAGGACCTGCAGCTGAAACGGACTTGACGGATTGCAATGCTTTCTCGGTATCGTCAACTGAAATGTAAAAGTCGGGAGGAAAATCACAGACTTCGAGGGGCGCCCAAGCGAGCGGAGGCAGGGAATTCCCAATGGCAACAAACTTGTCATTAAACTTGACTTTGACTTTTAAATTTGACTTTGAATGGAAACACATTGTAATTCATTGTTTATGCGAAAATGTGTCATTAAACACCAAATAATAATAATAATAATAATAATAATAACAACAATAATAAACAGGTTGGCCAGAGCCGAATCGGAATAGGGCTGTCCGTTGTACGTGTACACAAGTGTGGAAACGTTTTTAGATGGGGCAAGGCCAGCAATATTTTTGACAGCAGACCACCACTTCCGTGGATTCGACTGAGTGTTATTAGCGACATTGTTGGTATAATACTTTGAGCGAGCACGCCTACACAAATTATTAATTTTGTTCCTATAGAATCGAAACATAGGCTTGTTTCCTTTCCGCCAGGTCACTTGGCGTTTCGATATTAATCTTTTTATCTCCGGAGTAATCCAGGGCTTATCGCTGCTGTCAGATTTAATACGCTTCAGCGGGAGATATTTATCAACAATACCATCGACAAGGGAAGAGAAATATTGGAACTGTTCGTCACAAGAGCCCAGATGATACATTGGAGACCAGTTAACACTGGATAGGGCTTCAGTGATTAACCTCCGATCGGAAGGACGCGCGTCTCTAACCATTCGGAAGGACCGTGAGTTCCTACGATGATTCAGTGGATTTAGTAAAACTGAGTTATGGTCTGAGAATCCGAGTGGAGGAACAACTTCAAAAGATTGTGAAACTTCAAAACTTTGCTCAAAAAAATTAGATGTCATGTAGCCAATTAAAATATATATTTGTCTGTTTTTAGTATGCAAAACAATATCAGGCGACTTGTACTTCAAAAGTTTCTATTTAGCTCAGCTTGCGCTAGACCACGAAGCGTCACTTAACAAACACGATATTCCTTAACTCCGGTCTGAATGTCGCAGGCGAACTGAAACTCCCAATTTCATTAAATTGAAAAAAAAAAAAAATCTTCTGGCTAACACCCTGAAAGTTGGCTGTCGTACAACACAGGAACACATATTAGCTGGTTACCTTTAAATCATCTTCTAAAATTTTTGTAAAATAATTTTGAAGTTCTGACCCGCGGAAATGTTGTAGGATTTCTTGCCAGTCAGGAGGGTTCTGAAATACAGTTGTTTTGTAATTACTACGTATAATATTTGAAATAAAATAACAATTAGTAAAAGTGTACTTGCCTAATTATCAATACACTTTAATGAAAACAACGAATGAAACTTACATCGAACCTTCCAAGATTTGGTTTCTGTTTTCCTGCCAGTATTTTTAGCGCTGTAGATTTGCCAATACCATTTGTACCTACTAACCCTAAAACTTCACCAGGCCTTGGTGTAGGTAGCCTGAGAAGAAAATAAGTCATATTTGTAAAGGCTATGGAACTACACTATTGATTTCTTCATATATAGGGATGTGTCAGTACACTAGGTGGTACCAAGTAGTAGATTCTTAATCAGTTTTACAAGTTCCAATTCAGTTGTTAGTTCAGTCTTTTAAACAGAAACACGGTAAATGCAAGATTTAAATCAAGTACTTGGAAAAAGAAAGATTGAAAGGAAAGGAAAATTTTGTTCATTAATCATAACAGTACACAAGTGTTTTTGGTGGTGGTGCTGGTGGCAGAGGGCGTTATTGAAAAGGATTTTTGCATCCCCTGGATAAATGTCTTTGCCCAAGGGAGCTGAAACTTGTTTAGCATACATGTAATTCTAACACAATGGATGGAGAAACCGTTTTATGTTTTTTATGGTATAGAATGTGGAATCCTGTGTAATATGCAACTCTTTTTAAAAACAACTACTCCCCCTGAAGGTGTCACATATTTCGAGTCTTACCTGTGTAATTTAAATGAATTAGCATTATATCTGTGAGTTGTATCTTTTTCAAGGTTACTTGGTAGATTGATTATATTTATAGCTTCAAATGGACATTTCTAACAAAGGGAAAAGCGATAGTTATGAACGTAAACAATATCGTATTTAAACGGTGCCACTCACATTTATTCACTAAATTAGACAGATTTAGATCGAGGACGCGGACGTCAAAGACGACGTGAAAATGGCGTCAAAATGGCGTGGCATTTCCATACATGGGCACAACACGTCATGTTCACGTCAATATCTTGGCATACACTAAGAGTAGACATCTATAACTTAACCTGCGTATGAAATGCCTTTTGTACATGCAAATATCACAGCACTTGTCATATAATACTCTACCAAGATATGCTTTAAAAATAATATTGAAGCTCTAACGACGTATTTATTTCAGGCATGTTTGGGGAAGTCGGCTATTTTGCGAGCTGCGAGTTGCGAATCGCCAGCCTCGCTTTGAATTAAGCTTTGAAAGTATATTAATATGGACGACATGGAAGGCGAAGTCGAAGAGTTTTTTGTTTCATAAATATTAAGTTAAGAAGTTAAGTTCCCTGTAACTAAATTCGTTTCAACACGTTTTCCGTGCACTTCAGTCGCATCGTACCGAAGCGTAGCGTATATTTCTTTTTTTTCCTGAGCACTAGAACTGGAAGTAATGACTTCGACACAAAAAAAAATGCTACGATACGATCGAGATGAAAATCGGCCTTTACTTGTTTGTTTATACTTTGTTAGATCCATCGGTATGTTCAAGAATTAAAATAATTATATTGAAAATCAAAGTGTAAGTTTATATTTGCCGTTTCTATCTAGTAGTTATCCAAACCATTTTGTGCTTTCTAATCTTAAAATGGTTATTTAATTTTATTAGTAAGTATGACTAGACACAGACTCAGTTTGTTTATATATACTGAACGCTCGGAACCCTAAACTCAAGTCCTTTTTATCGGAAGTACAACTGAAGTTAAAATAATTCAATTTATACATACATACACATACATACAGTGTAGATAAACTTTATTTAAACACAGGAAAAAAGTGTCAGTACATCAAAACGATTGCTATTTACAAGTTTGTAAGTATAAAAATAAATGCAATGAATGAGAAAGGAGAGAAGAGATAAATAAACCAAATTTTATTTCAAAAGCTGATAATTGGAGCCAAATTGAGACAAAGCTATCCGCCAGGATGCCAAACTGTTTTCAACTTGATTTTTTAGTGTAAACCATAGGTGTAAACACCTGGTTCGGTGCTTCAAAGCAAGGTTAGTGTTAACCATGTGTTAAAATTAAACCCGATATTATTAGAAATTAACAATATACTTGTAACTCGCACCTCGCACTTTAGATAATCTCTGTTTGGGTGGGTGAAGGGATATCGGAGTGGAAGAGTTTAATAGGGATAGTTATTGATTAAACAGAAACACGCGGTAAATGCAAGATTTAAATCAAGTACTTGGAAAAAGAAAGATTGAAAGGAAAGGAAAATTTGTTTCGAGAAAAATTTTGGTGGTGGTGGGCAGAGGGCGTTATTGAAAAAGATGTTTGCATCCGCTGGATAAATGTCTTTGCCCAAGGGAGTTGAAACTTGTTCTTGGCAAATTCCTTTATGCAGGAGTCCAGTTGGTCAAGAAATACTTCTTGCAAGAGTCTGACACATAGGACCCACCAGTTACCCCAATCTATAAATCTAGAGAAAGGGCCAACTGTGGTAACTATAGACCTATTTCTACATATAATATTAGCTGTTGCAAAAATCTTGGAGAAAAATATTTATAATCAAATATTTGACTTCCTAAAACGAAATTCAATTTTAGCGAACCAAAAATCAGGCTTTCGTCCTCTTCACTCAACCAAAACTACATTCCGCTAACCAATGTCTTATTAATATGGACAAAGGTCTGATTAATGGCTTTTTATTTCTAGACCTCAAAAAAGCTTTTGACACTGTTGACCATAAAATTCTAATTTCTAAGCTAGAACTATACAGAATAGGAGGAAGCACTTTAATAAATTTTCTTTAACGACCTATTCATATTTTGAGCAGTCTCAAACGAACAAACCAAAGTTGACTGTTTCTAAGTTTGAATAGGATGAATATGGTAGTTTAAATAATACTGTTCTAGCCATCTTTTTGCGAATACATATTACTGTATCAGCGCTATATTTTCTATACATTTTGTTCCAAGAATGTTGCATGTCTCTGGGGAGTTGCATGTTATATATGTTATGTTGTTATGTTATGGTTTAATTAATTGTGTTTCATTTTGAGTATGCCAAGATTAACTAAGGATCAAAGAGTTTGGATTTGCTTAGAGCATGCAAGATTCCAAAATGCGGGAGAAGTTAGAAGATGATGGTCGATCAAAATCAAAGTTAGCCTTTCCTCTATCTAATCAAATATATTTTGAATGTAATAGCTTCACTCGCTTCAGACTTATTAAGAATCGCTTCAGACTTATTAAGAATCAATGAATTTTTTGGGACACCCAGTAGTTGAATAGTGACTTTAGTAAATAGTAAGTGTTTGTATTTCTAAACAATGTATATATGTATTCACAAACGGCCCCTTGAAAATCAGTTTTTCTTTACAGCTGAAGGGCTACCGTTTTCAAATAATTTTAAATAATAATAATAATAATCGTGTTCAAGATTCTCATTGCCAAATTGTTACAGCACGTTCGTCGTGCAATAGCTTTTGAATCTCTCCTGAGCTTTTGAACCGTTTCCCATTTGTAATCTAAAATTACTGAAAATTGCAAATTTCGCAAGGCTATATTATCCGCATTTTATAACATTTTGCAACGAAACTCTGGAATATTACTACTTTGTGATGCTCTTTCATGCTATGATAGAATTTTGTCTAGACTTGTTGAGATCAAAATTTTGGTTAATTGGGTCATTCCAGAAAAGATCCATACTCCCCCCATGGAGGAAATTTCTGCAGTTCGGAGGGGGAGGGGAGAAAAAATTATTTCTGATAATAGTAAATGTATTAGGACATCCGAAAGTGGTAGGGGGTTAACTTCCTATTTCCTCCGTGGGGGTGGTATGGATGTTTTCTGGAATGACCCATTGGGGAATGGTCCATTGTGGGATAAATTCAGTTTATGGGCATGCCGAAAAAGAATGAGCACAGAGATGTGTTTTTGCATGTGCGTATATATGAAAAGTGTTCATCCCACCATCATAAGACAATCAAACCAGCATTCAAATCAGACCAACACATCACTTGCGATACCCTTGGTGATCATAATATTACAAACTACAGGAAATTAGTGATTAAATGTCCCTCACCTCGGGAGGTTTGTGGCGCAGCCCCAGGGAATTCCTGGGGACATTTCAGGGACATTTAAGCACTAATTTCCCTCATATCATGGTATTACTTATAATAATTACTAACTTTGTTTTTGATACTTCATTTAGTAAACCATGACTGTTGAATGAAACAATTAATAAATATTGAATATATATATACCTTAACACAGATACCACAACCTATACATAATTCTTCTGATATAGTACAGACTTTCGAAGTTGGTAATACTTCAATGCACAGTTTACCTTTGAAAATAAACATTTCAAAAGTCAGGAAATACTGAAGTATAAAACCAAGAAATTTATACAACATGAAATTCTCAACAAAGAAAGCGAAATAATCACTCACCCATACGAACAACAGGACACGCTTTTTTACATTCTTGTCGACATTTCTTTGGTTTACATCGATCACTGTTCACGATTGCAATACGCGTTAACTTATCTTGTGAAGCCATTTCAAGATCGATGATTCATTCGAAATGCATGTGCCTTTCAAAGAGCATCGAGCCCGCGATATGTCAAAGTTTAATACTAAACTTTGCTAAATTGCATACCTCAAAAGTCTTCAAAAGTTCAGATATATATATCACGCGATATCAGAATTTCAGAGACAAATAAAAAAACACTATGAAAGCAGACAAATTAATTACCTATTTATTTAGTTATCTTAGATATAAAAAATATTAAAATTAATAACGAATATAGGCCTGGCAAAAGTAACAATGCAAGTATGAAACATTGACGGAAGGAACTGTACAGTTTCCACTTTTCAGAGGAAACTATATAGTACCGTTTTCACTGCTTTATCCGACAAAAGGGAATTTTACCCCTATGCCCGGATCATGCCCTCCTCCATCCATTCCCTACGCCACTGGAAAATTCAAAATACATGACTATCCTGAATATTGTCTACAATAGGCAATAGCAATGTACAATGAAGAACGACTTTTGACGTATCCAATTTATGTATAATTTTATCATCTACGAACAGATAAGACAGACTTCATGATCGTATATATTATATTTATATATTTATCTAATAAATGGCTTTTGTTATTAGACATTTATCGATTCTTAACAAGCCGTTTTATTCAAGAAAGATAGTAACACCTATTTCGAACTTCTTGTCAAATAAAAGTGTTAAAAAGTTCTCGACACCGGTTGAAGAATTATTATGCAACACTGACATACCACCAGACATGGCGGCTGACAACGACAGCATGGTGAAATCAGGGCCTGCAGAAAGAAATGTTGGCGAGTACGCAATGAAAATGATGAAACAACTAGAAGCTGAGGGAAGGTTAAAAACAAGAAGACGTAATACGTGGTTAATACGTAGACATATGGAAGTTGTTGAGAAATTTTGTGACACTCCAAGACAAGTGCTGGGTCTGTCTTTACCAGAGTTTAAAGAAAGAGTAAAGGTCCTGCAAAGTTTAGAAATAAGTCTTGAAGATGCATTGGTTATTGCTTTGTCATATCCATCATGTTTGTCATTGAATTCAACAGCTATGTTTTCAATGGTTTCACTATTGAAAATGTATCGTTGCTACCTTCCTAAACATTTCATGAAAAACCCTTATGTATTTTCCCTGGATTCCAAACAGTGTGAATCAAACCTGCAACACCTGAAGAAGATTGGGTTGTCATCGGAAAGTATTGGTAACCTGATTGATGCCAACCCAATTGTGTTGACAGTTCCACTATCAAACAAAGCTGAAAAATTTGCAAAACAAGCTGAAAATTATCAATCATCAAGCAATATATTGAGATTTGCTCTAAAATCATCATTACTCAAATCTGGAGAACAAGTTTCATTAAATGAAGATTTTAATCAAGTTGTGTCATTTCTTAAGGAACTGAAGATTGATATTTCAAAATTGATGCAAAAATGTCCAGAGTTCCTATGTACAAGCTATGCCAGTTTGCTTGAAACCTACCAGTTTCTGTGTGGTGCTCCTTTATACTGCGAAAAGAGTCATGTGGCGAAGCTACTCATGTCAAATCCACATGCATTTCTCCAAATGAATAAATCTTTGTTTCAGCAAAGTATACAAAGTCTTTCACAAATCATTGACAGTAACATGAAATTGTATTGGTTACTGCAGAAATCACCCATGTTATTTGTCGACAGTTCATCAATCCCGCTGGAAAGGATTGAATTACTTAAGCAGTACCAATTTTCTGACAAAGAAATTGTAGGCTTACTAGAAAAGGTTGCTTTTGTGTTCAGTTCAAAATCATCATGTAATCTGGAGAAGAAACTACGTTTATTGCTTTCTACAGATGATATTACTACTGGTCAAGTTTGCAAATCAGCATTTATTTTGAGAGCTCCATTAGACAAGTTACAGAAACGTTTGTTTTTCATAAAGTTCAAGAAACCAGATGTCTTGAAATTACACTCACTGAATGACATCTTTTTCAGTAATAATCACAAATTTATTAATGAAATATGTGGCTCTACATTAACAGAATATCTTGGTATAGTGGATGTATTAGATCATGTCTAATGTTCTTAAGACAAATTAAGATTTCTAAATGTAGGATCAATATTAGAGTTTCATAATCATGCACAGTAGTAGTGCATTTCATTGCAGGTCAAAACAACTGTTTTAGGAAATAATTAATAAACCTGCAAATTTAAAAAAATTACAGATTACATAATACATGCTAATCTGGAAAGTGTGCCACCATGACTATAGAGCCTCTGTAGGCAACTCCACAGGCTTACACAATAATTAATAAAGAAGTGATTGGAGTAACAGGGAATCATGAGGGATAATTGTGCAGTGAAGAAATAAATAGTTTTCATTACTGTCACCCCTTACCAGCCTCAATATGTTAAATATTGCATAAATTGCATAGTCGTTTTCCACAAAGTTGCCTGTGGAGGAGGCTACAGTGTCTGTAAGCTGCCAGCACATTTACCCAAACTGTCTGTTTTTTAATTTTTAACATGCTTTTCAGTCATTTTGAACTGCAATGAAAATTAATCACCACTTGCCCATGACACTGGTCTATTTGAAATTGTATAAAATAGTAAATATTTATAATTTATACATATATTGTTATATTTCGTTTTATTTATAGATTGATAAAAATTTTAAAGATATACCAGGTATTTAACGTCAGTAACTCCAGATGAAGGGCCTTCGCTCGAAACGTCGAAGTTCTCCTTATATTTTTCAGGTAGTTGCAACCAGGAACTACTTTTCAGGCCTACCAACGAAAGCTTGTTTATTGTATTGGCACTACCTACACTGGCACAGACGTTCAATATTTAGCTTAAAACTGTTAACATGTTGTAACCTACTGCCAATCTCTTTATCATTAATTAGCATATATTACTCTTTATAAATAACGTTTTTCAGACTGTTAGATCATTTTGAAAAATCGTAAGCGTGTCAACTGTCGTATCTTCTTTTTTTATATAGTAGAGAGTGAGATACTGAAAAATACACAGCGAGATATTTTCCATATCTTCACTGACACTGGTGAAGATATCGATCTGATGTGACTTTTTTCCAATTTGCTTTTTAGCGTGAAATTTCACATTTTTTTTGCTTGGGACTATATCATAAACAGAACATTACACGGTGGCTTGAAGATATGACGTTTACCGAGAAAGGGCCGGCCAGAAGATAAACGTCATCTTCAAGCCACCATGTAATGTTCTGTTGTCACCACTCGAAGATAAGACATATCTTCGCGCCGCCGTGTATTAAATATCCTCTATATATGTGATACGGAGATTTCCCTTGATTTACATAAACTTTAACTTTGATTTTCTCGACTTACATAACGTATTTTTTGAAAATTACTTCGCCAATGAACTTTATACTAGATCGATCGTTTTTGAAACAATTTAAAACATTCGCAGTGCGTGTTTTATCTGACCTAAAGATACTCACTATTCAGATACTAGGCTTCGCCTCGTATCTATATATCTGATAAACTGACTGCTGTTCATGTTTTAAATATTACATAAAGTCATCAAATCTCGATGATCTCTCTAGAGTCTAGTTGTTTTTAACTCAGGGAGAAACGGGAACGATTTCTGGGAATGTACTCGATGCCAATTGGGTTCCATTGTCATTGATCGTTAACCTGTGGAATGGTACTCTGAAAGTAATCTTGGCTTCCTTACTCCTTAATATTCTCCTGCCTATGGCTATGCTCTTGAAATATGGTGCACTTTGTCTTTGTTACCATTTCAGCTATTTCCGTATTTGTCAAAGGCCATTTAATAAAGTACCACGTTCTCTTCGATTCTTCGGACCCCATACATACATACATACATACATACATACATACATACATACATACATACATACATACATACATACATACATACATAACATAACATAACATAACATAACATAACATAACATAACATAACATAACATAACATAACATACATACATACATACATACATACATACATACATACATACATACATACATACAAAAAGCACGCCAGTGGCCTCAACAACTAGGAGCTGATTTCCATGAGGGGCGTGATTTGGAGAAATATACAGTACAGGTAAACATTAAAAATACCGAAAAACAAAGAAAGAAGAATTACATATACAGTAGACAACAGGACGGGCCAATTTTAAGTGTTTGCCTGATCAATAGTTCTTTGAAAAGAACTTAAAGATTCCGCTACTTTTACCTCATACGGTAAATTATTCCATACTACCGCTTCAACCGACCGAACATCGTAAGTCGCACTAGAAATTACTCTTGCAGCCCTATTTTGAAATTTCTGCAACCTGTCCTTGAGGCCTATTCCACAGTTGTCCCAGAGAGGGCTGCAGTAATCAAAGTAGGGCTGCACAATAGCATTGTACATCAATTTTAGTGTCGCAGACGATCGGATGAATTTGGAGCTTATTTTGTAGCATCCATTTTCGAATATTTTCAAGATCAAGCTAGGTTTATTTTAATAACAATGTCATCACAATCTTTAGAGGATAGATAAATTTCCGTGTCATCTGCGTAGAGGGATGGAGTTGAATATTTTAAGGAGTCAGGCATATCGTTTATGTATAATAGGAATAGATAGATCCCAAGATAGATCCCTGCGGTACACCACATTTTATCTTTCTCGGGCTCGATAAATGACCGTTTACCAGACATTGCTGCTCTCTATCAGATAGATAAGACTTGAACCAATTTAGTGGAATTCCTGATATACCAAAGTAGTTAATTAAGCATCTTTTTTAATAGTATTTCATGGTTTATACAATCAAAGACGACCATGACCATGTTACCGTAGTGAATTCTCCCTAACATTTCCTTTCGCATCGAAAGTGGTACGATCATACGTTGCCTTTCAAGATAATTCCATCGACGATCAACAGTTCATCTAGAATATTCCAATACAGTAGAACAGGGTATCGCCTCGCCCCTTATATGATAAGCTACACTTATCAAGGGCCAAGGCACAGTTTGCATATCCGCCTCAGCTTTCAGCATAGGCATACACAAACTTTCACATTGATAATTATCATGCTTAATTTCATCTAATAATTGTTAAAAAGCCAAATAATTGTGTTTTATTGGGAGAATTCGAAATGTATGGAACGCCATACTGGACAAAATTACTTTAGGATTATATACGTAAAACTTCTCTCGCGCGTACATCTTATCTGCATTCTTGCAAGGCTTGAATACACGCGTATAAAACATCATGCTTCGCGTGTAAACCGGCTACTGTACTAACTGTGCGCAATACTTAGAAATATCCCCGTAACTGACCTGAAAACATCGCCCGGAAACGTTAAACCTCGCCCGTAAGACTTCTAAATGTGGCCGTAAGACTTTAAATTGTTATTTGAAGTCCGTACATAATAGTACTTGTTTACATGTTGCCTATAAACTCGAACGTTCTGTGCGTAAGACTTTTAAATAAAGAAATGTGAATTTGTAATGACTTTAATTAACATGAAAACAAAACAATTACAAACATATATATATATATTTATCGCTTCCCCCTAAATGGACCGTTATATTTGAAGCATCTTTTACCAGAATCGGTATTCGGTTTAG